TGTGTGTCCTTTCAAAATGGAGGTAGACGCCAGTGCTCATGGGGCAGGCGCTGTTCTTTTGCAGGAAGATGATCGTGTTATTGATCATCCCGTGTGTTATTTTCGAAGGAATTTAACAAACATCAACTGAGTTACAGCACTATTGAAAAGGAGGCTTTGGTGTTGCTGCTGGCAAAGCATTGGTCCTAATTTGAGAGGTGGGGAGACTCTTTGGTATGTTTCGCTCCGGCTCCCCTAGGCCGGGCGTAACAAGCTCGCTTAAAAAGCCCATAAAAAGCAACCTCTAGAATTCAAGACTTAAATGTTTATTGGTTGAAGCACAAATTGGTTCTAGGCTAACAAGCACAGTGTGTTTTCATCCATTTAGATTATACAATGTCAATAGTGTAACAGAAATGCTGACCAAAACTGCATTGGGATCAAAGTCAAGCAATAAACGAATCAACAATCTGTAGGTCTTTACAGACTATGAATGGTACACTACCAATTATTTCCATCCTGCAGGTTATTTTATAATTCTTGCGCTATTTTCTAATGATACGTTTCTGTAGCCTGGTTGCTGTGCTGTCCAATCAGTAGGGATCGCGGCACATGACGCCACAAGATATCATGCAGCACTTCTGGTCTCCTGGACACTGTCCATCATGATTGCACAAAAAAGCACAGGGGGTGATTCCCTGGGGAGCGGGACAGAGACCCGGCTTCACTGACGAGACGTGAAAAAAAAAGAATTAGCAAACAACCACCACCGAAATAGTTATTTATCCACTTTGATCAAATCCAACCTATGTATGGTGCTGTGCACACATGTCCACATCCATTGGAGCAGCACTTATCATCATTGAGACAGTCACTGTCAGTGGAGCATAATTCTTCACACTGTCCGAAGACCACGTAATCGCGAAGACACCTGTCTGATGGAAAAAGAAGAGAGAAGAAATTAATATATAGAAAGAGAGCTTTACTGAGATTGTACTAGCTGTCCATGCTCGATTCCTTTCACTAGACGTCAACGGTGAACATTGTGGCTCTTACTAAAAGCAGGTGGGACACATTAACACAGAGAGAGAAAACTGAGAGAAAGAGGCAGTGAAGCAGAAGAGATGTGATCAGCTGGAGAACAGGACTGATGGGGTCTTGTAACCAAACATGATTGTGGAATGAAACACACAAGAAGAAAATAATGAACTCGCAGATTATACATTAAACAAAACATACTTTACATTACCAGGGAAAGCTATGCCATGGTGCACAAATGCACTTAGTGTTAAGATCAGTGGACAAACTCCTGACCAGTGTTGCTCCATGTTGCTTCTTTCTCATCAGAATGTAATGTGTGTACAATTCACATACACACAACCTGCACACCGATGAGCCCAGCGACAGGACGCAGGGTCCCTGTGCCTGTAGGGTTACCTTCCCATCTCTGCTGTCAGGAGATTTGACAGCAGGTCCCCTTCCCCTTATCGCTTGCTCCTAAATGACTTTTTCTATGATGCAATGTTTTTTCTGTGGAAATAATGTCTTGTTTTGCCTTTATGTAAATAGCTGAAAAAACGAAATCATTTTGTGATAGAATTGTCTCTGGAGAAATGCTGCACACATCCATAACTAAAGTTTAAATATAGTCGTGTGTGTGTGTGTGTGTGTGTGTGTGTGTGTGTGTGTGTGTGTGTGTGTGTGTGTGTGTGTGTGTGTGTGTGTGCGCATAGACATTGAATTTTTGCATAACATGGTTGTCACATGTTGCATGCGTTGATTTATAGAAAGTGTGGGAGCTTGACCAACATGCAATTCTAACAGCTTAACACCTAATCAATACAAAATTAATTGGAAAATATTTTTAGTTTTACGTTTTAAAGGCAGTGTATTAATATTGACTCATGGCTTCAGCTGTCCTCTTAATGGAAGGTGCCACTTTGAATACACTATATAAAGATCAAAGATAGTGTCCTAATACTGTTATACGTATATCGTACAAAGCACGGAGCGCTCTTGATTTGACCCTTTGTTGCCATCTATTGGTGTAATCAAGAGTCACATGAAAACTCTTTCATGTTCTTTTTTCATGTTCTTAAAATCTGACAGTCACAAACACTGTCAGTGTCTTAATGTTGTTGTTACTGCCCATCATCAAGAGCAAAGACAATCAGCTGACATTTTTACTCTATCTGCATCACGCTGCAGACCAGTTATCAATAAAGTTCATGTGCAATGAAAATATGTTGGCCCTTTGAAGACAGGGAGAGGATTACAGACACTAACCTAATTTCACAAAATATAAATTAAAGGGAACAGAAATCTTAATCGAAAGGCTTAGTTTTGTTGTTTCTGGGAGCTCAACTGTTCTTTGCAATAATCTCCTCCTCTCTCACTGTTTTATCGGCGTCGCTGAATAATGCCAAAACAAAAAAAGGTTGCATTTACCTTCATTAATCATTGATTCAATGAACCACACCAGCAAACCGACTAAGCCGCTAACATGCTGAACGCCATCATGAGACAATGCATAAAGGCCTCCTGCCCTTTATGATGTGGCTTAATAATGATTGGATGCAGGGCCCATGGAGTCCATTTCTATTTATTGTTGATCTGGGCACTGCAGGAATACGTTTTTATTTGTGTTAAGTCATGTCTGTCATATAGCATCATATTGCATCAATTTTTCTGCACTCCTATTATCTTTATTGAAACAAAGTGCAGTGCCTTGTATGACCTCTGGGTGGGTGTCTCCACTTTAAAATCTCATCAGAGAAAAAAATCTCCCACCATTCTGTAAGCCACATTATTACTGAAGTCAAATAAAAGTTATCCTGCACACAGGGCGGCTGAAGTCTATCCCAGCCAACTTTTGGGCAATAGACAGGGTTCACCCTGGACTGGTCGCCAGCCAACAGCGGGGCTACACAGAGACAAACAACCATTCACATTCACACACCTACGGGCAATTTGGAGTCACCAATCAACCTGATCCCAAGAGCACATCTTTGGACTCTGGGAGGAAGCTGGAGAACCTGGAGAGAATCCAGGCCACTGGGCGGAGCCGAACCCAGGACCTTCTTGCTGTGAGGCAACAGTGCTAACCACCACACCACCATGCCGCTCCAACTAAATGTTATATATAATATAATTAAACATGATTACAGCAGAACAGGAACCACTTAATAATGTAAATGGTTTGGTAATACTTTAATGTATTGTTAATTTACATTTATATACAAAACATATATATGTATATATGTTTTTTCTCTTAGAAGCTGCAATATATTTTGATTGGCAGTTATCCACCACACCTTAAAACAGGGTGAATACAAAGGATTCTTATATGCAAGATGCAGAGAGCGGTCATTTTAGTCCCCGGCACGGAGGCCATTCAATTTACACGTTCAACTGCAATACTTGTAGAGAGCATGGTAGCCAATGTATATGTCCATATGTAAATTTATATCGATATATATTCATAAATATAATATAACAGTAAAGCACACACATTCTTTCCCCTCCTGTCTTCAATTCAATCATGGAATAATATGTCTGGACACTTTCCTCTATGTATTCACGTAACAAGGCTTGGCTAGTGGCTGTTATTGTACGTCCTTGAAATAAAGTAGATGCTATCAGTTTCACTGGTGGCTGTGAATGCAGAACATGTGAATATGGGAAAAGACAGTTCTGTGTGACTGAAGGTGAAAGTTGAAGCAGGTGTGGTCCCGACTGGAGTTGTGGGAAATCTTCCCATTTTTAAGGGTTCCTTTTTTTACGGAAACCTGGAGCCTTTTTCTATTGTTGCCAAAGACGGGATTGTAGACGGATGGCGATGAACAATAGCAGATTGAAATGCTCGCACAATGGAACCAAGGAAAGAGAAATATGGCAGTGTGACAAAATATGACAAAAGATAAAATGAAGACGTGTCAGCAAGTATTAATAGTTGTCTGCATATTTCCCTTTATGACACACTCTCAAATGCAATATCTACCTCTTGTGTGACAATTAAAGATCTAGTAGCAAATACTATTGCAGATTATTCTTTTAAGGCTATGAGAACATGATCACACATATTTTAGATAGGTGTGAAAAATGTAATTCTGAGTGTTTTGAAAATAAATGCCTACTATCTCCACTGAGCGTACATCCTACACGTACATTACATCTCTCAATTCACCTCAAAATGTGTTGAAACCAACTCTACAAATGTATTTTAAAATTTCTTACAGAAACACACATACCAGGTTAGTGTGCTTTGTGACAGTAAATAACATGCATGGCTATTTATTTGACAATTCAATCAAGAATCACATAATAGTCTCTCAGTTCTTTTGGTAATGCTGCTGTAAACACAATAAAAAGCTGTTTTTTTATACGCAAATGTTACTGTGTGTGTGAAACAACCAGTGTTTTTTATTGCCTTAACTCCAACATCTTTCGATCATTTAGTAAGAATAAGTAGCAGTGCAGGAGGGTACATCGCTCTAAACTGCACCGGCGCTGAAGCTGTATTACTTCCCAGTGAGTGCCCACATTTTCATGTAAACAAACGTGGCCCCACTTCTGGCAAACTCTGAGAAAAACATACACACAGAAGTCTTTGTGTTTGGCCGGTGAGCGAATCTCACCCCTGCACGTCTGGCAACAATTTGGAACCAAAATAAAAGCAAAGCAACATTCCTCATATTTAGTCATTTCTCAACTTAGGGTGCATCTCTTTGACGATTAGAGGCTCGTCGCAGGTTTCTGTGACATAGCCTACACTTAAATTAGCACAGATCTTTGTGATCGGTAATATATGAAAATTATGAAACATCATGGTGAGCTGGATTTGTAGATGTGTGTGGTTGAGGTGCAACAGCGACAAACGCTCTCGGCCACCTCTTCAAATAGTCTTGTTTTCTGCCAATAAGCATTTTCCATTGTTGGCATATTTCACTTGTTTTTTTGGCTCGCATAAAAACCCCATAAAAGCAACTTCTAAAAGTCAAGACTCACATGTCGATAGAAAATAATTTTCTAGGTTCTGGAAACATGTTTATTGGTTAAAGCACACATTGCTCCTAGGCTACAAGCAACTGATGTACAAGTACAGTGTGTTTTCATTAGATTCATTTATACGATATAGTCAATCAATACAGAAATACTGATCAACATTGTATCGGCATCAAAGTAAGTCAAGTTTCAAACTAATCAAGAGGAACACAAAATACTAAAAGTCTTTTAAAGACTATGACTAGTACACTACCAATTATTTCCATCCTGCAGGCTATTCCAAAGTTCTTGCTCTTCCATATTTAGGGTATAAAACAATTTGTTTTGTGTGTGTGTGTACTTAAAGTACAAAAACATAAAATGCTGTCATTTAAAGGAGATTTACTGTCGTCCACAAAGACTTCCACTTTGTGCAATCCAGTAATCAAATATTGCACCAAACCGTGCAACCACAACATAAGAAAATGGTAAAAGAAAAAGTGACACAATGATACGTTTCTGTTTTTGTAGCCTAGTTGCTGCGCTGTCCAATCAGCAGGGCTCGCTGCAGGCGTGGCCACAAGACGTCTTGCAGCACTTCTGCTCTCCTGGACACTGTCCATCATGATGGCAGAACTCAGCACACATGGGGGTTCCCCGGGGACTGGGACAGCGACCCAGCTTCACTGAAAAATCGTTAAAAAAAAGAGGTTTAATGAACAACCACCACCAAAATAGTATGTTTGACCCACTGTTGATCAAATCCAACCTTCGTATGGTGCAGTGCACTCATGTCCACATCCATTGTGGCAGCACTTCTCATCACTGGGACAGTCACTGTCATTGGAGCAAAATTCAGCACACGGTCCGGAGCCCCAGTGTCTGCGAGGACACACTCCTGGCTTGGCTGATGGGAAAAAGAGGAATTAATATGTACAAAGAGAGATTCGACTAGAATTATACTAGCTGTCCGTGCTCCATTCCTTTGACTTGAGTCAGTTCACTTTGTGCAAAAGTTCAACATCGTGGCTCTTACTAAAAGCAGGTGGGACACAGACGGCTCCACAATCAAAGACACAGCATTTGTGGTCAGCAGGACAGTCTTCATCACACGCACACCCTTTGTGTGATGGGACGACATTAAGGAGACGTGGGCAGTGGCCTCCTTTTGGAAGAATTCCTGAGAGAAAGAGGCAGTGAAGCAGAAGAGGAGATGTGACCACAACGGACAGACGGGCTGGACAACAGGACCGAAGGGGTCTTGTTGCCAAACACGATTGTGGAATGAAACACACTTAAGCACCAACTTTTTTTTTTTTTCAGAAGAAAACAATAAACTTGCAGATTATACATTAAACAAAACATACGTACCTGCTACATTACCGTCTGCTTCTGCAGCAGTAGCTGTGCCATGGTGCACAAAGGCACTGAGTGCTAAGATCAGTGCACAAACTGCCGGCCCGCGTTGCTCCATGTTACTTCTAGACACAAGAATGTATTCTTGTTTGGACAAATACCCTCACACACAACCTGCACACCGAGGAGCCGCAGGCCGCAGGACGCGAGGTCCCTGCGCCTGTAGAGTTACCTTCCCATCGCTGCACTTTCCCCTTATCGCTTGCTTCTAAACGACCAGAATGCAGTGTTTCGTGGAAAACATGTTTGAATCAAAGTTTGTATTTTCAAAGTTGTCTTGTTGCCAAATAGTAAACTGTTCTTTTCTTTTGCCTTAAAACATTCATACCTAAAGTTTAATTGTAGTAAAATGTTAGGAGTTAAAGAGACAATCCTAGTTTTTTATCAAGTCATCATAACTTTTCTTGTTTTGTTACCTGCATCACTCCAGAAAACTCTCTCTGTCCTCTTGCTGTTGTACCAGCATCCGTGACAGGGATCATTGTTTTCATTCTGTGGATAAAATCAGACTTTTGTCCTTAAGAACTTGAAAATACCACGACATCCATGGGCCACGATAGTGGTACTATAATGAGACATTCTGCACTATTACTTTAAGAGTCTTCATGCAACAGCCTGAAGCTTCGGATGAGATTGTATTTCGTGTCGTGTCAAGGACGGATTCATGAAAAGATCACCTACACTGTTTTCATAATGACTATTTCTGATTCTGGAGAGGTTTTTGGTGGAGTGGATTTTAATGTCGTGTGCAACAACAAACCCTTCACCTTCAGGAGAAGTCAAACTCTCTAGTGGTCCAAGAAGATTTAATGAACAACACATTTGAAAACATACAGTTATAAGGCAAACATCTTGATTCTAAATTGTACCTCAGTAAAAGTAAACACTTTATAGTGAGAGTAAACCTACTTGAAGTGTATGCAGGCGAATGGCCCTATAAGTTAGTAAAGTAACCACAGCTGTTAGGTTGACATTGGCATAGTGGAGTATATATGTATAGTATGTCCCTGTGAAACGTGTGTTAGGGGCTGGGGGAGGAAGTGACATAAGTCACTTTCCAGAGAAGAAGTTGCTGGTTTGCTGCATACTTTCCTGGCGATGCAGTCGTGATGTGCGACACTCTGAACTTGGTTTAAGATTAAAAGAGCAGGGAAGTTTAACTTGGAGCTGGTTTAGGACGACACAGGACACAAGGTACACAAGTTGTCTCTATTACCTTCAGACAGGTTAGTACGACGAGGGACTAAATCGATGTGGAGTTTTCCTCTGCTGTGGATTCTGTGAGTGTGTCACAGTGTTTAATTTATGGGGCTTAATAATGATTGGATGCAGGGCCCACGGTGTTCATTTCAACCTGTATTGTCTAGTTATGTCGTTTTATTTTTTGAAAATCAGTTGTACCCACAGGCTGCAATTGTTAGTTAGGAATACGTGTTTATTTGTGTTAAGTCATGTCTGTCATATAGCATCATATCACGTACATCATTCTGCATATTGAAACAAAGTGCAGTGCCATGTATGACCTCTGGGTGGGTGTCTCCACTTTAAAATCTCATCGGACTAAAAAATCTCCCACCATTCAGTAAGCCACAATATTACTGAAGTCAAATAAGTTACATCATTACATGTTTACAGCAGAACAGGAACCACTTAACAATGTAAATGGTTTGGTAATACAGTGATGTATTGTTAATTTATATTAAATACAAAAAATATACATATACATTTTCTCTTAGAAGCTGTAATGAATTTGATTGAAAGTATCCACCACACCTTAAAACAGGGTGAATCCAAAGCATTATTATGCAGACATAATCCCGGCACGGAGGCCATTCAATTTACATGTTCCACTGCAATACTTGTAGCAAGCATGGTAGCCAATGTATATGTCCATATGTAAATTTATATGGATATATATTCATAAATATAATATAACAGTAAAGCACACACATTCTTTCCCCTCCTGTCTTCAATTCAATCATGGAATAATATGTCTGGACACTTTCCTCTATGTATTCACGTAACAAGGCTTGGCTAGTGGCTGTTATTGTACGTCCTTGAAATAAAGTAGATGCTATCAGTTTCACTGGTGGCTGTGAATGCAGAACATGTGAATATGGGAAAAGACAGTTCTGTGTGACTGAAGGTGAAAGTTGAAGCAGGTGTGGTCCCGACTGGAGTTGTGGGAAATCTTCCCATTTTTAAGGCTTCCTTTTTTTACGGAAACCTGGAGCCTTTTTCTATTGTTGCCAAAGACGGGATTGTAGACGGATGGCGATGAACAATAGCAGATTGAAATGCTCGCACAATGGAACCAAGGAAAGAGAAATATGGCAGTGTGACAAAATATGACAAAAGATAAAATGAAGACGTGTCAGCAAGTATTAATAGTTGTCTGCATATTTCCCTTTATGACACACTCTCAAATGCAATATCTACCTATTGTGTGACAAATAAAGATTAGGTAGCAAATACTATTGCAGATTATTCTTTTGAGGGTATGAGAACATGATAACACATATTTTAGATTGAATGGTTGAATGTGTGAAAAATGTAATTCCGATAAGTGTGTTGAAAATAAATCATAGCTTTTTGTAGTCGAATGGCAAACATGACAAATGAGTGTAATTCCATACGTTGTGGTCATACTGTTTCCAGACTGACCCAAAACAAGTCTCAACGGCATCCCTTGACCTCAACGCACCCTCCCCCACCCACCCCCCCACCGAGCACCCATAGTCAATCATGTATTACATTGTGCATTAACCTGCTATTGACCTCTGTATGCTAAACCCAATTGCTATATTATCTCCTTCGTAAAGTTATCTCTCCAGGACTGAATCAGAGTTTGGGTTCCGCTTTACCCCCAGGCTAAAGAAAATGTCTCAAATAATTGTTAGCTACTGGATAGATGTGAGGATGGAGGCTCGTGTCATCTAAATCAACACAATTTGGGTCTGCTGTAGAAGCAGCATTAGACAGGAGAGAAAATGTGTTCTTCTTCTGCAGGAGAGCTTCAGGTTGGGGTCTAAAACAGTCCCTATGGTTTTTTTTTTCCATTAGAATTGATGAGTATTTTCTTAATGTAGCCCCACCCGGCACCCAACTGGCTTGAGCAATTATTACTTCTGTTATTATGACCAATACGCTTGACTCACGCTGCCACAAATGTGTCTACTTATGCCACTAATACCTGGAATAACGATAATCCAGTGAAAATGTTTTGAACTCAGAATAATGCTAATGACTCTAATGATGAAGCATGCTCAGAAATCCCTCCCCGTCATCCCATTGTTTCCCCGTGGCGGAGGGGCGAGCCCCCACGGCCCCATGGGAAATTTGTAATGTATTCAGCCAGGCCTTGGGAGTAAAATGAAAACAAATGTGGTGTAATAAAGGAGAGAAGATGAAGCGATTCTGTGATGATGCTCTCGACCAGCCTAATAAATCAAAATAAAAGTGGAGCAGGTCATATGTGCCCCCGCCCTCACTGAAAATAACGCACAATATATGAAAATGGTGAAAAATAAGATATGTGAATATTTGAATGATTGCTTCATCTTGCCCCGCTATTCAACTGTTGTAGAATTTTATATATCAAACATTTCTTTATTAGGGAATATCGCTGCAAAAGCAGAAAAGGTTTCCTTCTGTCTCTCTGGCCTACAAGCGCCTACAAGATCAATCTAAAATTCTAGAAGTTAAAATAACATTGATAATCAATACCTTAAACTTCAAACATAGTAGCAATCTTACAGCTGGAAAAAAAACACTATTTGCCGACTTTTATCCTCCAACTCCTGAGCCTGAAGTAATGTCGTCTTGTGATCCATCATCACCGTCTGTTACTTACAACCAGCTCAGTTTTTTTTTTTTTTGTGGGCTTTCAGATGCCTGAAGAGGTAAAATATTCTATCCATTCACAAGGAAAAACAAATCACACAAAGAACCCCTGAACAAAATGATGCAGCTTTGTGGACTTTAAAGTATTTCTTCCTGCTTTCCCCTTTTAATCATCGCTTGATTTATGTAGCGCGTCTCCGACCCCAGTTTGGGAACCGAGTTAACCGTAATTAAACGAGACTGAAGCCGATGGCGGTGCTGCTACTGCCGTCCCACTGCAGGGGCTGCTGTGGTGTCAGCTCACTCGCTGCATGAAGCCGACGGTCCTGGAGCAGAGAACTGCAGGCCGGCTGGTGATGCAGGCAGTGGCAGCAATCAAAAAAGAAATTTTAAAAATCCCTCAAAAAATTAGAAATCTCACAAACAGCTGCTTATCTTGGCGCGGTTTCCGAGTGAGCAACTGAAGACTCAGAAACGAATCGAAGGGGAAAACGGGGTTGATTTGAAAATTGTCACCCTCGCAGACACGTGGGTTTTAGGGTCAACAGCATGAGGTGAGGTTTTCATTCTTTGCGTAGAACCAACTGTATTGTGAAGAATCTTCTTCTTCTTCTTAAAGTCCCAGTGGACGTTAATAACGGCTTTATTACGCGGATAAAGAATAGTAAACAGAGAGTACAATAAATAATTGATCCCTAATAAGTCGAGCTAGGGCTCCTTCTTTATATTTTTTCGGGCCAAGAATAGAGAAAGCCTCGTTGTTGTTTATTTCCTCCCTTCGTTCTTTCTTTTCATGTCCTTCTCATTTTACGAGCCATGAGTCAACACAGCACACGTAAACGATATTTTGACACAGAGCCCTATGAATAATGCATTCAAATTTACTTTTATGCTGGAGTTGGACCCCTCGCAGCACCCTTTCGCTCCCTACCCATCCCTAATTTCTTCTCCTCTTGGTTCCCCCCCTTTGCCTCTTTCTCCTCAGCGCTCAGTCCCTACCCCCTACCCCTCCTTACCCCACCCTCCTCCTCCCCTTCCTCTTCCTTATTTCACTATTCATCCTCATGAATGCTCAACTTCATTTATCCTTCCTTGTCCCTCCCTCTTTTTCTCCCCCTCCTCCTACACCTCCATCCGATGGCAGAAAGGAAGCGATACAGGATGAGACTTGAGCTTTCAGAACTGAAGATCTACTAAATCAGTGCTTTTTATCTGGTTCTCACTCAGTGGGCGGCTCAATGTGACGTTTTTA